ATCTCATACAAATCTTTATGTATGTGTGTGTATATAATACATAGACATACCTTATTGGTTTTGTTTCTCTGTAGAACCCCAAATAATATAATATCTGTAATTGCAATATGGCAAGAACATAGCACGAAAAATAATAGGGAGGGAATTTATTTGGCAAGCAATTAATATAGCACTTATGATGTGGCAGACACTATCTTAGACCCTTGACAAATATTAACTCATTTAATCTTCATCACAATCCTTTGAATTGGATGCCATTGCTATTCTCTTATTTCAGAGGAGAAAAACTAAAGGTTAAGTAACTTGTCACTGGTCACACAGTTTGTGAGCAGCAGAGCTGGGATTTGACCCAGGCAACCCACCTCCAAAATCAGAGATTGTCACCACAAGGCTATGCTAAGGACCAGAGATTGTTTTCAGTCTGAGTCACAGGTCACTATAGGCTTGGGCTCCACCTACAGTACTCTGTCCCTTACAAAGTACTGCCTCTCCTATATCTGAGAGCTCACTGAAGGTCCATACACCTGGAAGAACCTGAAAATCTTCAAGGCCTTGCTCAGACCAGAGATCAGTACTTCTCCAAAGGAGTTTTTGATGTTCCTATGAAGTTTCACAACAGGCCTGCTTCTGAGGTCCATAGCATTGATCTTATTCACAGTCATGTCCTCATTTATCATGATTCTTTAATCAATAGCAACTTCAGCAACTGAAACTTTGGGCTTTCATTCATGGAGATGACATTAGTTCAGGGCCAGCCTCCTTTCAAGATGCTGCTGCAACTTCCCTATCAGGGAGCAGATCCAAGACTCCTGCAATTTCTGTGGCCTAAGCCTTTTCCTGTGCAGAAGGTAAAGCTATGGTTCAAAGCTGTCACTTGACTTTTGTATAACAAATGTCTGTCTTGGGAGATTAATGGGCTTCATTTCTTTTGCCTTCATTTTATGTGGCCTACATGGCTTGCAGGTAATTTTAACAGTAAGAAAAGGAGATGGAAGTATCTTTTGGAAAGCAATTCAGAGCTCTGTAGGTCCTCTGCAGGACATTCTCCAGAGCCTCTTTCCTCCTCCATCTCCCTCTTCAGTGAGCAGGGCTATAAAAGGCAGAGAGTGCCTTCTGTCAAACTCTGCAGACTAGAAGATAATTTTCCTGAGAGACACACTGAGTAACCAGTTAAGTGTACTCCCTCTACCTCTGAAGCTTTGGAATATATTTCATAGCCTTCTCTGAATTCTCATATCTAAATACATGCAGATAATAAAACTACTATGAAACGACAGTGACATAAACAAAAATGCCTCATGGTTTTATTTTTGTTTTCCCCTTCATCTTTGGGAAGTAGAAGCAGTGCACAAACACCTTAACAAAGGAAACTTACCTGGAGAACAGAAAAGGCAACACTTCCTATAGCTTGCATCTTGGTCCTAGGTTCTACATTAATCCACAACATCTTCATCACTAAAATCATCTTTCTAAGATCACTATTGCAAGGAGAGGCAAACCAGCAACATAAAACAATCACTTCCATGTCAAGCCAGCCCCTAGTCTAAAAAGAATTCACATATTATCAGAAATTCTTCTATATGATGAAGAAAAGGAAAAATACCAGGACAGGAGGAAGTGATTATAAACAGGACAGCTGAAAGAAGGTGGCTAATAGTTGATTAAAATTTGAAGTTAGGCTCTAAAGATAAATAGCTCCATCAAGTGCTTCTTAAGAAACATCAGTATGGGTTCCTTTATGACATTCAATCAAGTAAAGAAGGGACAGAAGAAAATCAATTTTCATGAAGCCTCTCCAGAGCAAGGGCACAGGAGTAGGTGACTTCATGTGTGCTACCTCATGTAAGCTGCTTGATACATTCCTGAGAAGTTTTTGTTATCACCCTTCATTTGACAGATGAGGAAACCAAGGCTCAGAGGGTAAGTAGTTTTGTAAGGATCACATGAATAGGAAGTGCCAGACCTGGGGTTCAACATCATGATGCTTCACTTTTTCTGAGTGAACCTCTGAGAGGTACTATAAGAAAAGTAGCTCACCATTTTGACTTTAAGTCACATGGGCTTTCCTTCAATGCACACCATCCTTCCCTATAAACCCTTCACTTAATGAGGAAAACAATGATTTCTAGAATCCTTGTACCCTGACTCAGTTATTATTCTGTATAGATATCCTTTGAGTTTCAGCTAACTAGTCTCATGATTCGTTCTTTTGGTATTTTTCAGAAAACACAGAATACATCCTTGGCTACCTCCCTTACTCAGGAATCTTTTGATTGCAAGTGACAGAAACCAAACCAAAGCTAGCATAAGTTTCTCAAAAAAAAAAAAAGACAGTTTCCTAAAGTAATGTTTTAGATAACAAAAAATTCAAGCAAAGTTTAAAAATCCAAGCCCTGATAAGGGCATAAATCCACAGAAACAATGGTAACTAGGAATTTAAACACCATCTGCTAGTTCACCAATGAGCATATGTACTTGTGAATTGAACTGGGACTGAGGGTAGGACAGGGACAATAGTAGACATTTCCAAAGCCTCCTCAATCTGGGGGCAGAGAATCCCTTAGATGTGGTACTTGACTCCTTTACAGCCACACATAAGAATTACAGCCCAGAAAAATCAGTGTGATAGAAAATTCCTGGCCCACTTACTCTTCACCTTGAACCTCTTCTCTCCAGCAATATTCCTAGGGCCATGATTAGCTGGTAATCCTGCTACAATCAACTCAAAGGTCATTAAGGAAACACTTTTATAGGAAGGATTTGCCACAAAATGACTAGTATAAGTAGTATGCATGAACCATTTAATCTCAGTTCACTTTTCTGTATCCACAAAAGACTACCTATTGCACGCTATATTTGCTTCCATTTCTTTTCTTGTCATGACCAAAAGCTGGCATCCATGATTGTCTTGCCTACAATCAAGTTCAGAGACTTACTTAATATTCATTGTTATCTCAAATAAGGTCCCTAGAAGAATTTCCTACTTCATTTCTCATTGTCAAGATACTACAAACCAGTGGTCCACTGATTTACTCTAGTGTATACTGGTTGGCTTTTGTTTGTCTGTGTTGTATGACACATAGTAATTTTTTAGAATCTGGATTACTTACCAAAATCTAGAACTTAGATTTATACAAAAGTATTCGAGTTTCCAGCTTTTCATGAAGATTCAAGAGACTGGCCACACTTAGCTTACAGTAAGTACCTCCTGTGGACACTCAGCCACAGATGAGTATGGTTCCCACTTTTAAGGGTTACGTATTCTTCAGGTCACCCTCTAGTCTCTTAAATCCACTCCACTATCTTTACTCATTACCTGTGGATTTTTTAATTTGAGACTCTTGCTTCAATAGTTTTTCATTTCCCATATTTGTAACAATGCTGATATGTTTTCCATCTTAAATCATTCTTTCTGTAGCCAAATATAAAGAAATTAATACAAAAAATTTGATGGCTTCACAAAACCTCAGCACAACATTACAGGTTCTTTATGAACTAATTCCAAATTATGTTTCCAAACCACACAGTATACATCCGGCCATGTATACTCTGCACCAGCCCTGCCAGGCCACTCTTTTATTTCTCAGGCATACCATTGTGACTTCTGCTTCTGTCACAACTCATGCTCCCTCTCCTGTAATGCCTTTAGCCTGACGAGCCAAATCCTATGATCTATGCACAGTCCAGAGGTAATGCCATCTGTTCTATATGGTCCTTCTAATCAGGTGTCTACTCAAGGCCACCTGTTAATCCATGTGAGAAATTTGAAATGCTCCATTTCCTTCAGTTCTGTTCTCCATTGACCAGAAAACTGTCCTAATAAATATGCTTATTTTTTTATATCTATAGTTTGAATGGTTTCTACTTAAATTTGTCACCATTGTACAGTACATGACCTGCATGGCTGTGCAGGGGAAGAATTAGCTATTCTTCTGTAGCTAACTAATGTTCCCACATTAATGTTCCACACTTCTACCACAGAATAACATTCTACCTATCATCCCTACATATAGGTTATTAGTTCTCAGGGGGCAGGAAATACATCTTGAATGATTTTGTCACTAGAGAAGAAATGTCTCCAGGGAAGGGTCCAAGGAGTTCCCAGAAGAGATGGGAAACTCAACAGAGGACCAGTAGGGTTCTTGACATACATGACATAAAAGAATTTCAGCATGAACCAGACAGGTGGAGACAACAGTAGTTTATTTAGGAAGGCAGATATGCTTTCAAGGGAAAATGTGGGCTGTCTCAAGAGTGAGAAGCCGCCCTGACTTAGGCTAGGAGTCCAATATTTATAGAAAGGTCATATCAGCAGGCGGACTGTAGGTGGATCCAGGGTGGAGCAGCACAATTTCATGCCAGTTTTCTCTGTTTGAATATTTCCCTTACTTTACAATGGCCCAAGCCAAGGGCATGGGTCAAGGACATGGGCCAAGTTTTACAATAATGTTGTCTAGATCTCAATGGCTTGATTCTGCATTTCAATGGCTTGTGTGTTATTTCCCCTAAGATTCCATATTTCTTTCTCCTTTTCCTAAACCCCTATCTCAATTTCACTATTCTCAAGCCACATGGAAGATAGTCCACAATGAGCATTGAATCAGTTTGTCAACTAGTAGATTGTTAAGCCCCAGCCACTGGATGGAATAGAACTAAAATGTTTTATTATTCCATTTTAAAGTGCATTTTTATTTATAGTTTTCTGACTCCTAACACAATAAAATAGCTTCAACTTGACAGTCATCTCACATAAATGAAAACATGATTTAACAAAATGACATTTTATGAGCTGTAAACCAAGTGAATATGACATAAAATGGCAGGGAGAGAAAGGAGAAGGGTAGGGAACACAAGGGAAGGAAGGCCAAAGACTATGACTTCTGGAGGTGCACACAAGGCCATTTCATGATTTTCGTGCTTCTGAGTAAGGTTAATGGCGAACCTATGGGATGAACCAGGAGAATGAGGCCAGTCAGTTATATAAAAAGAGACAACGTATGGCACAATCAAGGTAGCCAGATTTATTCAGTGGAGACAATGACATGTCCAGGGAGATCTCTGTGTGCAGATGTTATCTTAGGTCATAGATGGTGTCAGTTGACAGAATCTTTTTCTCTCTGCACTTCAAATATTCCGAGCTTCAGAACACATCCCCCTGGCAGGACTGGTAGGATTTCGAAGAATCTAGAACAGTCAAGGTGGTATCTTGTCCCTGTAAGGATAGGAATTATCTCAAAACAGCCAGGTCTAAAGAAAGCCCCCCCCCCCGCCTTGCTGCATTGCCTAGCTTAACTGGAGGATCAGTCTTGGCTCTAGCCAGAGGCTCTAGCACTACAGAAAAAAAAAAAAAACCCAGGCTAAAATTGGCTCTTTGTAGCACTTACTTTCCTCTGGTGCTGAGGCAGAGGCTTGACCCACTTTTTTTCCAACCTGTGGTCTACTATTTTTATTTTCTCCTGTGTCTTGCCTAATCAGTGGAAGAGTCAAGAGGCACCTCCTCTCACAGCTGTGACTCCTACCTTTAAACTTCCTCTCACCTACCCTTGGTTGAAAGAGAAGTCCCACCACCTTATGCTGAACTAGAAAAACCATGGGATCCTTAGGGATCTAAGGATCTATTCCTAAAAACTAATCTTCCTGTAAGAACAGGATAAGGATCCTGCCCTACCCTAGTCCATCCTTCTTAAACCACACCTCTGGCCACGCCACTCCTCTGTTAGGAACTTAATATGTAATGCCCTTCATGCTCTGTGCCCTGATATAATTAATCACCTAAATTCCACTGGATGGGTCTGATTATTATCTCCATTTTAATTTTATAGCCAAGACTTAAAGCAGCTAACTAACACACTCAAATTTGCATCATTAAATAAGTGGTGGATCCAGAATTTGAAACCAAGATTAAGTCCAATTTTCTGAAGACCATACTAGTCCTCCTGATCTTGTGAAAGAAAAATTCTAATTCAAAGCATCTGTGGTAGGCCTGACAACTGCATTTCTGAAAAGCTGATTCTGTCCTCCTCAGACCACACTTTGAATGGCAAGGCTCTAGAAGTCCCTGTTTCACAAAGGAAAGACCCAACAACATGGTTCTTCTCTCTTAGAAACATGAAGACTTTTAGCCTATAGACTTCCTCTGATTCACCAATCAGGGACATCACATACCAAAAGCTGTGATGACCAAGAAATGGGCATGATTTTCCCAACCTTCCTAGGAGATAACAAAGAAAAAGCTAACAGTAGTTAGCCTTAGAACTGGCTCCCAGACAACAGACCAAAAGAATTGTGGCCTCTATATCATAAAGAGCTTGGCCCAACACTAAATTCCACTGAGACACTATCATTGTACCACCAAAGCCCATTTATACAAGTTTGGAAGTCAGTAAATAACTAGGCAATTGCTATAAATGTGTCTTCCTCTAATAGGAACTTAGAAAATATCAAAGGATATTTGAAAATATCAAACACCATGAGTACAAGTGATACCCTTCTTAAAAAGTATATCTCCAAATGCTAGAGTCCAAACTTCCAAACTGGAAGTTAACAGAAGGCCCCAGGCATCCCTCTGTGGATCAATTTCCTTATAAAACAAAAAATAACCTTTCAAATGTTAAGAGGACTTACGATGAACATCTCCCATTTCTTGCATAGTCATTATGCAAAGCGCAAACCATAGGTAAGGACTCCACAATGTGAAATCTCATCTAACCCACTGCTGCCATCAGAGGCAAACATGAAAAGCTTTGAGCAGACTTTGATAATTAAGGGTGTTCCATTTCCTCAAAACAATGTTGTTGTGGTATCTTTAAAGGAGGAATCCAACAACCTGCCTGAATCTTCTTGATTCTGCACAGTGTCTGAGTCGACAACTAATAATTAATCAACAATGAACACTGTCTTGCTGTCCATCACAGTGACTGGCACTCTTGTCTCTGAGAAGAGAAAGATGTGCTAATGTGGCAGGCTTCCTAATCCCCACAGCTATCAGCTCAGTACCTGATGTGTTGGCCAGATCCTTTTTCAGGATGATTTGGCAAGTGGGGGTTGAGGGCCAAGCGACAGATCTCTGGAGCTAGGCCACAGAAACCACCTGTCATCAGGGCAGAAGTTCATGGTCCAGAATTTCAATAAACAGCTCCCTTTAAAAAAATTGGTGAGGTATAATAGTAGTGGGAATTGTTGTTACATATTCACATATACACAATGTAACAATATAATTTGGTCAATTTTATTCCCCAGTACTTCATCTTTCCCTCTTCTCCTCTTTCCCCTTGGTCCCCCCTTCCTCTACTGTACTGGTCTCCCTTCTATTTTCATGAAATCACCAGACTTCTTTCCAGTTTTCTCTGTAGCTTCCACATATGAGAGAAAACATATGATCCTTGACTTTCTGAGTTTGGCTTATTTCACTTAACATTCTCCAGTTCCATTATTCTCCTGAAAATAACATGATCACATTATTCTTTATGACTGAATAAAATTCCATTGTATATACATGCCATTCATCGGTTGACAAACACCTAGGCTGGCTCCATAATTTGGCTATTATGACTTGTACTACTATAAATGTGTGTGTACATGTGTGTATGCTTCACTATAGTATGTTCATTTTAATTCTTTAAAATAAACACCCACATCGTCTCCAGCACCAGCTCCTTTTGTTCAATGATTCCAACATATTCCTCCATAATGCTCCTCTTGCTAACTTGCCTCACTTCTATCCACACTTACTGATCATCTGCCATGTGCAAGGTCACAGGTACTCTGAAGATTAACAAGTCAAGTGCTTCAAAGGGGCTATGGTCAATAAAGGCATTAAAAATAGTATTAGGAACTTTCACTGAGCTATATGGCCTTAGTTCTAGCTGTCTCTTTCTATTATCTGCTCTGAAGACATTTCCCACCTATTTCAAGATCTATGAACTTAAATATGCATTCCATGGTGGCAGATATGCTGCATACCCTCCAGGTGACTAATGCCCAGAGTTACCTACCTGGTGGTATGGAACCTGTTTTATTGTTTTCAGGATGGGTAGAAGGTGACATAGGCTATTTGTTCAAGTCACTTAGAAGAATCTCTCCAACCATGGAAAAAGTACAATCAGGGGTAGCAATAGAGTCAAGGCCTAAAAGGCAGCCGTCTAGATGCTAGGGGTCCTGGGTTCTAGCCCAGCCCTGCTATGGACTTATTTTGTGACCTTGAGCAAAATTCCTCCCTTATTGAGGAAACTGCTGAGAGAGGGGATTGGACTGCATGATGTTTGCTTCTCACTGCACTCCAAGCCCCCAGGACAGAGCTCTGTGGCATTATCCCCCTTGGTCTCTCTGAATCTTCCTTCACAGCCAGTCCATCTAATGACAGAATCGTCACTTGAATGAGGATTTAAAAACATCAAGCAACAGCCATTTGAGTGCTCTTTTAGTTTTTAAATCATTCTGCAGCTCACAGTTGCTTTCTCCCGTCACCCAGGAGACAGAGGCTTGCGCCAGTCATGCTCCCTTCACTGGTGGTACGTGCCACTGTTCACAGAAACTGGTGAGCTCTATGAGCATAAGGAAAGCATTAGAGACAAAAACCAAGCTCCCCTAATCCCCAGCCCAGACAACACGGCACACAGCCATACAGCCAATTCATACAAGAAAATAAGGGAGCAGACAGAAGAATATTAACACTGTCAATCTGAAAATGTGGGTTTAAAATTAGCAAAGGGAAAAACATGTCATTCAGGACTTGGGCAGCATTACCGATTGCTTTGCATGTTCACTTGAAACAACAAAGCACTTGAAAACTTTCATATCTGAAATGTCCACTGACAAAAATCAGTGATAAGATCAGGCTTGATGGAAAAGAAGAAAAAACAAAACAAAAACACCTCACAGGGAAAACAGGGACAGTCTGAAAGGAGGACTTAAACCACAGATTCAAAGGGTGGTGACTACAATTATAGTTACTGATTACTGCAGAATTCTAAATTTATTGGAAAATGTGCTTCCCCCCCCCAAAAAAACAGTAAGAAGTAAAAAAGAAAAACCACAGTAAAATCTGCTGCTGAGGGAAGAGAACACTGAGCAGGCAGATTTTGTAAGATTATGTCAATTCTTGAGGTTCTCAAAAAAATAAGTGGAAGCCAGCATAAAGCAGCGCGAGAGAAACAGCCTCACATGGAAGCCCCGCCCCATGCGCCAGTCCTGCTGGGAGTGGAAATGAAATGCCTGAGGGAGCCAAGGGATGCAGAAGCAGGGCAGGCAGGAGGCCAGTCATCATGCTGGGGACTGTGGGGGTAGCCAGGGAGGCTCTCTTCTTTCTGCCTCCCTCCCCCAACACTGGGATGAAAGCGTGAGAAGGCAGAGTGTGCACTTGGAACCTAGCCACTTGTCTTCCTCACTGGTCAGAGTATTGGAGTGTTCTGGGAAGGAAATAATGATCCTGAACATGAGCATTAGTACCCCAAAGACTCAAGGAGCTACCAGTCCAAGACCCCTAACCCTGAAAATGCACATATACATGTTTTTAAATTAAGTATAGCAAAATCTAGATAGATACAAATTTGGGTGGTCCAAGCCCAACTCTACTGTGAACTCTGTTTTCTATGGAAAATACTAGCACCTCATTGGAGAATCCCCACTGATATCATAGAAACCATCAAATAGTTCACAACAAGACTAAACCAAGTTCAGGAGCTATGAAGAACACAAGAAAAACCCTCTATCCTTGGCTGAGCTAGGTGAAATTGGGGATCAATGCTCCAAACAGAGGGCCTGATAAGAATTCAATAGAGTTGTCCTGCAGCTACATTGGACATTATTAAAAGGTTCTAAATCTGATCCTGGTCTTAAAGATCCTTGATTGGCTGTGAGCAAAGTGCTCATTACCCCAAGACACTTCCTGCCTCCATACTGACACTTAGGTCCTTGTTGATATAGGCCCACTGTTACTCCACAGACAACCTGTCAGCTTCTCATAATTAGGAGAAAGTTGTTTCAGCCATTACAAGACGATCCATTTCACAGAGACAGCTTCCACATGTGAGATGATATTTCAAACAAAAAGGCTTCAAATACTGAAATCCAGAAACTCCTATAAGTCATATCTTGACAGCCCAATCATAGATGACTCAATGTCCTTAAACTTGCCTTCTTTTTGCAGAGGACAAGAAATCACTATTCTTGTTCCAAAACCAGGACCATTCAATCCTTTAAAGTAATACTTGTCAATCTGCTAGAAATAGCATTTTGCAAGGTGAGAAAAAATCTTGACTGAATAATGTTACTTCCTAGATATAAAATGTTTCCATAACTACACACGCATGCAAGCATGCACGCACACACACACACACTCCAATGCTGAAAAATTTTTAGATAAAGTACAAAGCTTATAAATGGGATATTATATAATGAAGTTTCTGAATCATCATTTAAAAGAAACCAAACATAAAAGGTGAATATTTAATCAAAGTAAATGTGATCACTCAAATCATGATCAGTCATACACCTGCTCATTTGGTATTCATAGCAAATGGAAGACCATTTCAACCCACAAAGTGAGTGTTAAAAGCTCTGAAATGGGTATTGGGTGTCTAAATAAGGACCATCAAAAGAGCCAAGTAAACTGCCCACCTGACTTTCATTTTCAGTCTGTAAATTATTGCACAGATGAAAGAAGGAGAGCTTTCTGCCACTAATCTTTTCCAGCAAGGTCTAGAGTCATGTGATTTAACCTGACAAGTCTAAATGATGATATATCTTAAAGCTCTCAAATCTTGAACCTGGCTAATTGGAGAAAAGAGGATAAAAGCAGAGCAAAGGGAACAATAATATTTTCCTATATGGATATGCAAAACTGTAGTATTATTTGCTACTAAAGTCTTCTCTTATAAGACACCATGTATGAAGAACTGATATATTCAATCTGCAATGACTTGAGGACAAATAATTTAAGTGCTTCATTAATTTCCTTGTCTATGTTCACTATACACAAATGAGGCTTCTGGTCTAATGTCCAAAGGCAAATAGAATTGACTCCACTTTGCTGAGTAAAGATGCAGGGGGTTTTCTTTAGTATTTTTGTGTTGAATGACAACTTTATTCACAGAATTTCTATTATAAGAGTAATAAATGCTCACTACACAAAATTTGGAAAATGTAATATACAAAAAGAAAATTGAGTTTCCAATCTGAAATAACCAGTGTTAACATTGACATAGTTCTGCTATCGTGTTAATGTTTGTGTCCACTAAAAATTCATATACTGAAAGTTAATGCCCAAAGCAACGGTGTTAGGAAGTGAGATCATTTGGAAAGTGATTAGGTCATGAGGGCTGTGGAATTGGTGCCCTTATGAAAGAGGGCCCAGGAGCATATGTTTTCCCTTCCAACATATGAGTGCAGACCAAAAGGTGCCGTCTGCAAGAAAGAGGACCTTACCAGACGTTGAATATGCCAGTACCTTAATCATAGAATCCCCAGCCTCCTGAACAGTGAGAGATAAATTTCTGTTGTTTTTAAGCCACCCAGTGTATTGTATTTTTTATAACATCCCAAATGGACTAAGACAATTTCCTTTTTCATTTTTGGTTATAAAACCTGTTTGTTTTACAATGTCGTAATCAAACAATATCTACACTTGCATACTCTGTTTTTCAAGTACAAGTATCTTTACATGTTACAATTGGCACTTCTAGAGTCACATGAAGTAGATGTGATAGGGAAAAAAATGTGCCATAGCTGGTTAAAAGCATGGGCTTTGGGATCAGGAGAACTGCAGTAAAATCTCAACTCTACTGTGTTTATTGGCTCTGTGATTTTGCACAGATGATTCAACCTCCAAGCTTCAGTTTCCTCCTAAAAATAATAGAGTAACCAACACCAGAGATTTTTTTGAGGCTTAATAAAATAATGCCATAAGGTATTTAGCTTGGTGCCAGCAGGAACTACAGTTTAGCTGCTCTTACTATTGCTATCATTTTAAAACTTATCAAGTCTCTTAATATCAGCCATTGGACTGCTTCCAAATTTTATATTCAGCCAACTCTGTAATATGTATATAAACAGCTTGAATTATTTTCCTTAGTATATATTTTTCAAAAGTAAAATTCATGGACATTCTACAGTACTAGGAATGTATTGCCAAATTTTTTGG